AACGGACAAACTAAGACACCCGTGACAACTTACAGTTACAACGGACAAACTAAGACACCCGTGACAACTTACAGTTACAACGGACAAACTAAGACACCCGTGACAACTTACAGTTACAACGGACAAACTAAGACACACGTGACAACTTACAGTTACAACGGACAAACTAAGACACACATGACAACTTACAGACGTAGCAGGCATATAAGCTACACATTTTATGGTCTGAGATCGATAAATAACAAACTGTACATGTGCAACTGTAATCCAGTTTATGGAAACTTGTATTATGAAGAAACACGCCTGACAAAATTCACAACTGTTTTTATTTCTCAACATCGTTGGTTTTCAAAAAGTTAAATACTAAGGCTATACAATACTATTAAAAAAAAAAAAACTTGGGTATCACAATCATAGGTTCCTTCTTCCTGTACATATGTCTACCTAAGATAGGTTACTAGCTTATTTTAAGTTCGGGCTTCAAAGAACTAAACCTTTTGTGTCATGGTAGTGTTTAGAACATGCTGAATAACCTTACTCCTAATATACTATATGCATAAAATGTAGGAATACTTACAGTTAAAGCATCTTTCTTCCCTATAAGGCTCTGAAGTATGCGTACACTAACTAAGTAACACAACAGTAATTTAAGGTATTAACATGTGTACATAAAATTATGCATAGCATAAAACTTTTTCATTTGTTTAGGCTGTTAAAGAAATGTACAACAATGATTCATGTAACTTGACAATGATGTAGACATTCTGTGCTAACTACTCAGACAAAAAAAGTTTCCAAAGGCTAATGTGTCCTCTGCGAGCTATCAATCCAGCATTACAGTAGAAGAATGACAGATCTAAACACATCTCTGCCTGTGATGTTCAATACAGAAGAATCATTATTTCAGTCTCCTGTTGAAATTGTACAATTTAGTTTTTAACATTAAAACTTTTAGACTTGTATGATTTTAGAAAAAAATATGAAATAATCACAAAGTTGTTTCTTCTTCAGTGAAAAAAAGATCTTCACTCCAGATGGAGTATACTGTCACAATGATGATGTATATGATACATAAAGACTGGTAGTTCACATATCCACCGAGACACATTTTATTGGTCACAAATACTTTAATTTTATATACAAAATATATTTTAAACAACCATTCACCTCTCTAATCATGGTCTTTAATTTCAGACTAGCTCCCAACTGGCAAGTATCAAAACTTAAAACATCCCATAATAATACTAATATAAGTACAAATGTATACATACTGAAAGTGTTTTCTCAACTTTTTTTTGGAATGCAGCTGTAGTCTGTATATTATTTCTCCACCAATTAAACAAGCTCTTATACATGACACAAATCATCTGGCCTACCTTGGTACCACATTTAAACCCCCAACAACCAATCCAGACAAGGAAGAAAACACACAGGGAGAGAGAGTGATGCTGAAGAGGTACTTAGAATGCATTTTATTTAAAAAATGCAATAGTTACATACACACACACACACACACACACACACACACATATATATATATATATATATATATATATATACACTCTTCTCTCTCATCACCAATGCTAGAAACTCCAAACTACATTGAAGGAATAATCAGAACAAAAATAATGCCATGCTAACCTAGAAAAAAAGTTTCTAAATGTCCAAGTGTTCTCTGCAGAAACTAGTAGGCACATCAAACAAACTAATCAACACAAATCCACATGCTCTCAACACAGTTGAAACAACAGTCAGCCACAGGAGAAGGAAAAAGGTAGTCAAAACCTCTTTATACGTACTATTTATTCTACAATCAGGACTCTGCAATAGTTTCCCCAAGTGCTACCTGAAAATGGAATACACCCACAGTCAGTATGGATCCACCAAATTTTCCACCCTATAACTAATGATATGCACAGGGAGAGGGGCATATATTGTACCACCCTATAACTAATGATATGCACAGGGAGAGGGGCATATATTGTACTGCATAGGATCCACACGAACCATGATTATTTGAACATCTGGAATTAAAAGCAACAGACTTATTGTAGAAGAATCTCTATAGAGTACAAGAATCTTGTAGCAGCAATGATAAACTAATTCTAAATAGCACAGAAAAATACAGAGCTCCAATCAATGGAAAACAGAAAAGAGGCACAGGAGAAGTGAAGAGAAAAATAATGTCTTATTAAACAACCAACATGTCAACAAAATATACTTTAGAAACTAACACACTTCATCCAAGAACCATAATCACTCAATAATTCAAATAGCCTCACATAGTTTTCTGATCAGTCTAGAGATAGGCAAGAGTGAGGAAGCATTTATAATTTACACAAGGATTGTATTCTATGTTCATAAATTTTCAAAATATGGGTACTTAAACTAGGTCATTTATGTTTAGTTTAATAGTGGTATTTGAACATTTGTATTATAAATTATCTGTAAAATTACATCCTGAAGGGTGACCTTTGAAGTCACAAAACCAGTATAAGAAATTAATAAAGAAAAAATCAAAGCTGTTCACATTCAGAAATGTTAAATTCTTCATCAATCAGCATTTATAAAACAATGGAATAAAACTTCACAACTCATCAAGATCTCTCCTTGAGAAATAGTTAAGAATAAGTCCATATCTTGGTAGTGTCTTCTCCTACAACTGCTTATATAAGACACAAGTTTTCATTGTTAGAATCACGTCTTTATTATGTAACCAAAGTTTATCAGTGTTATATAATGTATATGTACATTTAAGATAACAATGTGACACCGAAATGTTATTTATTTTATCTCAGAATTACTATCAGTGCTCATGCCTATAACAGAAAATATTAGTGGGTAAAAGCGGTGAGAGTGGGTTAAATGATAATGAAACCAAAGAGCACAAATTTTAGTCATGATCACACCATTACTCAGACGCTATTTCTACACACTAGCCTAGATACCTTACTGTGCACGTACTAGAAAAGTCAGATTTTGCACAATTCTGACCTAGTTTTCTAGAGGATTTAACAAAATACTGAAACAAAAATGTAAATAAAAGATGCCCATAAATATTTACAGTAAGTAAAGAGTACCAAATCCAATGAATCCACTGATTTTACATAAAGAAACAATGGAATTTTGACTTGGTTCTCATATAAGTTTAAATTAAGCTAAATATTCAAATCAACACAAAATCAGTTATATTTTGATAAATGGTTTACTAATAAAACATTTGATTTTAAAAAGAATATGGACATTTACTGATAAATAGTGAATCAAATACATCACGAACAGTAAAGAAAAAAAAATATTAAAAATATATAATTTACTATGTTGAACAACTACACTAGTTTTCTCTTTAATAATCTAATGATTATGATGTTCTAATCAGTTTTGAACTTCAGTTTTATTACCATTTAACAGAGCTCGTAATAGTAAATTACCTTAAATTCAAGAAATGAGCTTTCAACCTAGTACGGATCTGTTGACTACTTTGTCATGTGTTTTAGTCAATTTTGTTTTCATCACACTATTTATTTCAACAACCAATTTAAATCAAACTTCTGTGGTTTCTTACACAGTTACAATATATCTAATCAAAAACACCTCAGGCCAAAAATGGATTGAGCATGTGACTTAAAGGAATGTAATCAAAACTGTTGACCAAACTGGTAGCTACACTTATAGCATTGATAAGAATTTTACAGCAAATATTCATCCATTAGTAAGCCAGGCCACATTTTTTTCCCACCTTGGGGCACACTCAATCCATTTGTGGCCACACCTAAGGTGTTTTTCATTAGATATCATGACTTTTTGTCAATACACACCAACAAATCACAGCAAGTAAGAATGTGACACTCTATAATATTAGCTTTAGGATCACCACCCCTTTTATTTGAAACATACCTATACTTTACAGAACCAACCACATTCTTTAAAATACTTGGTGATAATTTTTCTTCTCTTAAACAATGTTAATAACTTCCTTTACATATAATAACGCCATGGAATCTAGATTAACAGTTACTTGTCATCACCAGCATGCAGTCAGTATAGCGCATCAAGCATCATTATTTACACTAATGGTTATGCTAATATCACGTGATGCTAAACGCTCTCTAAATTCTAATTAGGAAAATTTTATAAAATTTAGCAAATTTGTACTTAAAAGTTGACAATAAATAGTAACCGTCCACCCGTACGATTCTTTTGAAAACTTGAGCTACACACTGATAATCTAGTTTGCTTGGCCTAACCAATATTTGTGTATCTGCACGTCATTTCACCCTATAGTTTAACTTCTCTAATTGCTTCTAAATCAGCAATCTTTAATCCGAATGACGAAAAATTAAAAATAGTCCATTTTTACCTTTGGGTGAAGTTGTAGTAAAAATTTCAGACCGGTATCTCACGTGACTTTGAGTAGGCGTGCGCAAAATTTTTCGTCAAATTTGATCGGCTTTTGTTGAATAAATTTCTTCATGTCTCTGATATTTAAACCAAATTTGACACACAAATGTAGATTTTAAAAATATATCTGTGTACCAAATTTTAAAAAATCCATAAAAGTTAAGTATGTTTTTTCTATCAAATAAAGTATACGTACTTTCGGCGCGAAGTAAAAAATTAGGAAAACATTCAATCAAAATTCGAGATTTTATATCTCGTGTATTTCTTAATGGATTGCTTTGAAATTCTATATGTAAAGTAAGGGTTCTGTAGAGCACATCTACTGAAAATATAAGATAGTTTGGATTACCACAGTCCGAACTACTGAAAATAGAAAATCGCAAAACTACCACTCCTGTATCCTGCAGGTTGTTTTGGCAGCACGATACGCTACAGCGTGTCTTGAGGCTGCATATCCAAATGAAGTCATTGCAAGAATGTAAGGTAGAAACTGAAATACTACATTAGGTTATTATTATTAGTATTAGTTTGCAATAAAATAACATAACAGTTAAGTATGATATTCCTACATTGTGGAATATCAATGTAACAACATAAAAGTACGTGAAATATACACTGAATGGAACTTGGAAGAAAGATGTAATGTATCATGTAATATTCTAAATTTCTAAGGCTAAAAGTAAAACAGGAAAAGTAAAATTAAGAGAACTAAGAGTGAATTTTCATGCTTTGTAAATTACATTTACAGTCTACAAAACGAATGTTTTTCTTTATAATTCTTTACTGACAAAACATTCTTACCACAATATGGAAGCAAGTCCTGTTATAGCGGAATGTATTAACGAAACAGTAATGTTCCTCCACCTCCATTGAAGTAACGGTGACCTCCTAACTACTGAGGGTGTGACTATCAACTTGTTAAGAGAATAAAACAGTCCGACAGATATGCACGAGACAACTGGCCCAAAGTACCATAAGACAAGTAATGAATATCCCATTTTTTGACACTAACAGTAACACTTCTCCTAAATTTTCAGTTTGTCCAAACATGAAATTCACCTAAAATAACGAAATTTCATTTGTTACACAACTGACATACGATATCTTACAATTCAATACACCCTATACTAACACCTTACATAACAGCTCCCACACACACAACTCTCAAGGCTTTTATTCGTTTTTTGTGATAGGTAAACAATATAGCGCCATCTAAACAGCTAAATTATAATGACATGGAATACAAGATAAGATGTTCCCTTTTTTTATTGTAAAATGTTTTCCATTTCTAAGTAAAAATGCTGGTAATCAACTGGAAAAAAATCCTAGTATAAAGATATTCGCTAAGATAAAATTGTATCAAAACTTAGCACATTTTATATGGTGACAAATATTCTGTTCAAATGATGTTTCGTGGCAGAGGGAAGCAGGAGCGAAACGACATCACAAGTCCGTTACTTAACAAATACATGTACTAAAAATTATAAAAGAAAATCATACGGAGTTTTCGTGATTTTTTTATATTTAATCTCTGACTCTTTTTCTGTTGCTTAATCATCCAACGTGAAACCATTTCTAAATACTAAATGATGCGATAATTTTAAATAATTGCAGTGCAATAATAGTAAGTTAAACTTCTCTTGAATGTCTTCTCAGAAGCAAAGAACAATTAAGGTTGGCTGGTTGGAAATAAGCATTTTTACTTTTCGCTAAAGTATTATCGGGGACAATTCCTAAATTCTATCATAACACTGTCAAATCTTCTGTTTTAAATTTGTAACATGGGTATGTTAATAATAAAAGTAACAATAATAATACCTCAATTTTTTTTTACTCTCGATTCTGAGCAAGTTTTTAACTCCTCTTCAAAATCAATTTTTATTTATTTGTGTGCAGCCCATCCAGTAGATTTACAACGCTACGAATACCCGTGGTGGGCAGAGCACAGATAGCCCATTGTATAGCTTTGTGCTTTATTACAAAACAAACAAATAAATAAAAACACATTTGTGTGCACTATTGTTGAAAATATGTTATTATAAATATTTCTCCATTCTTATACTTCCATTGTATCTCACTTTTGACTTAAGGACAGGTAAATACTGTTATCTGGTTAAACATGTTACTCACGTGTATTTTTGTTTTACAATATAATTTTTTATTGCGTATCCGTTATCCCGAAGACGACTCCAAGATTATTTTATTATTATTATTATTACCAAATCTTATTTTACTGTTTTCTTTTATTGTTATTAAAAATCGCTCTTATTTTATTAAAACATTTATAATTTTTAGTGTCGGGCTATCGTACGTAAGAACCGTGGTACCTATTCTGTAAAACATTGAGAAGTTTAAGTTCGTAGTGACTTATAAGCATAATGAAATAGTTTTATTTGGGGGGAACATACTACATGTTAAGATAGAACATTGGTAGAAGACAGATTATGGGCAATGCTCTGTACACGTATGTTTCCCTAGAATGAAACCACTTCAAGTTTCACAGTGGTAAGCCTTTTGGTGCACTAACAGTCACTTGATTTGCTCCCAAAATGTGTGCAACCAAGATACTTATCACAAGGAAAGTTTACAGATTTGTGTGATTTTTTTTTTTCAGTTATGAAATTTTGCACATTGTCAAAATTAATCGCACTTTATCTGAACGTTTTTTGTATTCTAATATGGTGTATTTCGTCGCACATACAATTGGTTAATGGCGAATTCAAGGCCATTCCATAATATAATGACACAATGGATAGACTAAAAGATGGAGGAAGGAAGAAACTTTTTTCAACACAAATACACATCAGCGATGGAGGACAAGTGTTATTATATCCAAAAACTATCCCACTATTATTAATTAGTTCATTAATCTCCCGCCAATTGTTTCCTTCCTTCAGTCTTTCGTTCGTTATTAAGCACGAGTTAAACAATGGGTTATCCGTGCTCTTCTCACACAGGGGAGGGGCTTATTATTCAAGATCTTCTCTCGTATTTATATATATATGTTTAAGATATTCAGTGACATAACACATCCTTGATGAAGCCCCTTCCAATCTTAAATCAATTTATAATCCCAATGCCTGTTACCTTTAGTGTAATTCGTTAATGATGTTAATAATATGCCTTGGATATCCTACCCCATCCCGTTTCCCACATATTCTTCTGTTGAATGCAGTAGAATAGTCCCACTGCGAGTCACATTTACAATGCAAAAATTCAGAATTTGATTGCCTGTTATGGTAGAGCAGATATAACACATTGTGTCGCTTTGTGCTAAAAACACAAACACTGCCGAATGCTTTGGTGTAATTTATGAAACACGAGTATAATTAATTTCTATATTCTTTACATTTTTTTATGCTCAGGCTCAAAATTTGAATCCTGGTTCTTTTCTTGAAATCTGCCTGCTCTTCTGGTATTTTCCTTCATTTTACTCGTGATTCTATTCATCTACATTTTTAATAAGGTTTTACTTACATGCAACATTAAGCTAAAAGTTTTGCAAATTTTTCAAGTTCCCCCTTTTTTGGTGTAGGCACAAAGGCTGCTCGCCTCAAAGCTTCACACCATAAGTTTGTTTCCCATATCCTATTTACATGTTTGTGCATTATGTGAATTCCAATCAATCCAGGCCTTTTCACTAAATCTGCTATTTCATCAGTGATTGGTGCTTTCCTATTTTGTAGTTGTTTCATCGCCTTTTCTACTTCTTACTGTAATGGTTTTGGCTCTTTCGCTCATTGCTGTAATTCATTTCATCCAGTAACTCTTCCATTTGTTGGCGATTACTACAAGTCCTCAAAATACTCTTTCCATCTTTCTTTAATTTCTTCATCTTCTATTATTTACTCATCTTTATAGTTTATCACATTCAATCTTGGAATAAACTTACACGTTACTGATCTTAGAATTTCATATATTATTTTTTAGCACATTCAAGTAATATGATCATCATCTTTTAGAATAATTCTGTACGTACGGTTGTTGTTTTTCTTCATATTTGCTTTAGATTCTTCCCTTTTTTAAACAATTTTTAAAGTTTCCACCAATTTCCTTGGAATACAAATTACATTTTTTTTCTCAATAAATTCTCTTGCTGTGCTTTTAACTATTATCTTTTCCTGTAATTCATTTGGTGTCATTTCCATCACTGCTGTAAACCTATTTCTGAGAGCTACACCATATTCAGCAGTGACAGTGTATAATTTTAATCTCATTGGTGATATTTCTTATTTGAATTTGTAACTTGATCTTAACTTTACATACAATAGTTTATGACCACAAGGAAAGTTTTTGTTATAACAACACATATCCTCCATCACTACTGGGAAATGATGTAATCGGGTTTCTCTCCACATCTATTCTGCATTTTCATCCTGATTGTCATAAGCTTGATGTTTATTGAATTGTATCCTAACAATGAAACTGACATTTCTTTAGAGATATTTTAACACTTCCAGAATATATGACGATATAGTTACTATCAGGAGGTATTCATATGATAATGGTAGGAATTTAATGAATACAAGTTTAATGTTCTTCATATTATATCTAACAAAACCAAAACATTAAAAAACACTTGTGCTAATATTAAATGAAATTGCGGACTATTTCAAGCATGTTTTTCTAAGTGAAAAATATGATAAAGAGTGTATTAATAAAAACCAGCTCAGTCAAACCTTTTTTTAAAGCTTCCTTGAATCATATTGTTGACAGATAAATTAATTTAAAATTACAGAATTCAGACATTATGGTGTGTTATTTGATGGATTTTGTTACCGAATTTTGGACTTTTTTGTTTTTTAAGTTAAAATTTCAAACAGTTCAGGAAACTCAAGTAATAAAAATGGCTTAGAGGCCTTAAGCTCTCCGAGAATGAGAGAAGAAACAAGAACAAGATCATAAACATCTGCCAATTGTTCAACTTATTATAGCTCATGTGTGATTGAGAATATAATTTGTAAGACTTAAATTGAATTCACATTTATGACATAAATACTGCCAGAAATAAAAGAAAAAATATCCATTTACCAATATTCAAGAAGCAGATCAAGCTAGTCACAAAAATCCTTCATTTTCCCCTCTATTGCTAATCTCTACTTGCCATCATATTTGGTCCAACTTAAAAACTCTCCGAGTGTAAAAAACTAGTTGAGTTAATGTCTTCATTATTAAGAAAGTTTTGAATATTATAAAAATCTAAGACTTGCTGAAATGTGGTAAAACAAAAGACGATTCAATACTTTACGAGTGTTTCCCAACCTAGGTGGTACTGCCCCTAGTGGGCATTTTTAAAATTCGGGAGGTAATAAACTTTGATGGAACAGCAAGTAAGAAGACAGAAAAGATTTGGGGGTTTCAAAGTTATATTTGTTAAAATTAAACCGTGAGAATCAAGTATTATTGATAATTGATTATTATTGCCTTACGATTTTCATTTTAGTAAAATAATTTAATGGTCTAAAAATTCATTAGAAGAAGGCATGAGCACTCATTGTTTGCTGAAGAATGCTCTGCGGCAAGAAAGGTTGGGAAATTGCTTTACGACAAATAAACAGATTCTTGGTCGGTTGGGATTCTGTTGTTTCACATAAAACTTTTGTTTGAAAAAAACTTCAATATAAAAGAAAGACAACAAAATTTGTTTTTATTACGTGAATATTCACATTACATATCTAGTATAGAAAAGCTCCTTATAACTATAAGGGCCATTTTCTACAAGCATTATTCTAAAATAGATTAAAATCACACACATACGAGTTATTTGTACAGAATCCCATAAAATTATGGGCGTATCATATAGATATTTTGTAGTTAACAAAGTTCTGAATGTGTGACAGAAATGGTAGAAAAATCACTAAGTTTGTCTGTAAAGTTTACAAATAGAAATAAGTTACTTAACTAACGATCTTCATAATAAAACTCATGAGACTTTTTTGTTTGTTTTTTACAAAAGTCCAATACTTGTACTTTAAGTTTTCAGGAAACACTAAATCATCAAATCATTCCTCTATCCTAGGCTGAGGTACACATCAATATCCATTCCAACTATTCCAGATTCCTTACATACAATTTTCTCTCTTAACATATATGCAACACAATTTTTACAAGTATAAACTCTAACTACCAATTTGTAATCCGATTCAAAACAAGAAATACAAGGTTTATTTTCATAACTTATCCACTTAATACAAAGATGTTAGACAAAAGAATAAATACATAGTTAACAACTATCTGGATTTAACGAAGCTTGTATACAATTGCTCACCAGAAGCAATCAGTTATATTTTATTCATTCATCAAACCATTCTGCTCTATTCATCAAGCAATCAGTTATATTTTATTCATTCATCAAACCATTCTGCTCTATTCATCCAGCAAGCAGTAATATTTTATTCCTCAGGTAAATAAGTTAGATTCTACACACAAATCAATTAGTTATAATCTATTCACTTATCAATCACTTATATTCTACTCCTCGAATAATCAATTCTATTCTATCCCTTCAGAAACACAAGCAATGTGTAACAGAAATAAAAAATTGCAGTTATTCAGGGCATTTCTATATCAATAATTGTAAAGATAATAAACTTTTCACAGCCATTTGTAAAAGCCCATTTTTTTCAATTGAAAACTAAATACTAAGTCTTTTAATTTTACATTTCTTTCTTAACTTTTTTCATAAGCCAAAGGTTCTTGATGAATACTAATTTTTCATTTATTGACATTTTTCAGGCACAAATTGAAACCACTATAAATGCTAAGTCACTTATCTTTATCACACTAAACAGAACACAATAAATAAATAAAAATAGTTTGGCACAAAGAACCAGAACCATATGACACTGTCCATTATTGTAGCCACCCATATAATTTATAATTATTAATTAGTGAAGATAAAAATTGGTTAAAAATTCAATGATATTTCAGAAATAATGCATGCACACTGAATGTATGATTTCAGTAATAACTATCATATGTACACATTTATTAGAGTTACCTCTGTATACAAAAAAAAAACTGCCTGAAATGGATAGATGAACAAAAACTACAAGTTGTTATATTAGGAAAACATACAGAGGGAGTTAGAGAGCATATCAATGACATTTGATTGATGGCCCCTTATATCATTACATTTGATTTCCCAAAAATGAGAATAAGGAGAACTTGTGTTACAATTTACGAAAGATCAATAATATATTTTCATCTGACAGAAATGTTGAGTTTGTCCAAAAAAAAAAACAACCCAAAGTTATTTTCTAATTTATGCTAATGCAAACCAGTTTATAGTTTATGATAAATAATAACTGATGGGGTAACTTGAGAATAATGCAGTTTAAAAGTACTGTAGAAATGACCTATGAGTAACAAAAAAAGGAAATAATACAAACTGTATAAGAGTTAATTCGATTTTGTATAAAACAGATATTACCCCTATGAGTAACAAAAAAAGGAAATAATACAAACTGTATAAGAGTTAATTCGATTTTGTATAAAACAGATATTACCCCTATGAGTAACAAAAAAAGGAAATAATACAAACTGTATAAGAGTTAATTCGATTTTGTATAAAACAGATATTACCTGGAGAGGTGTATTATATCCTTTTTAAATTCATAAAAATTGTTTTATCTCCATATCACAAATGAGTAAGAAAGATAAAAATAGTAAATTTACATTTTTTGGCCTGAATTTATGTATATAAATACGGTTTTGTGATTCATCTGTCTGGTGTCAAAAATTTTTGAGGAACCAGCTGGTCGAAAAAAACCTGGTAGGATGAGTCTCTACCCAAAAATTATCAAGTTTAAATACATAAGAAATTGGGTGAATGTTTTGAGTTTGGCAGCCATTTTCAAATTTTTCTACGTGAAGCCAAAACCAAATGAAAGTGACACTTAACGCCTAAATTTGGATTGCTATCTTTGCTGGTCAGTTGTACTGAGCAGACTTGTATGGTGAATGAAACAGAAGCTCTCCATGAAGTGAGCTAAATAAATGTAACAAAATGCACAGGTACATGTGCTATTAACAAATATTTATAAAACAATTCCAATACATAAATAACATACATATAATCTGAGTCTCTTCATAACAAAAATAACTACAAGCATTACACCTATAGGTGCTACAAGCAAAGTACAGGGTGTCCCAGAAGTCTGGACCCATAGGAAAAATAGACATTATATTCCTGAAGATAAACAAACACATTTCTAATGTCAGTTGTACATATTTCCAGAAAGAAAATATCCTGATGGCACTGTTTACCAAGAATTGATAAGTGTATGGCTGTTAATGACGTGCAATTTGAATAAATAAATAAATAAATCCAGAATAAATTGTGTATTTATCCCTATGGGTCCAAACTTGTGGGACACCCTGTAGAAACAAAATAAGTGTTAAGATATGTTTCTACATACGTGTGACTGATAGCATATTTATCTTAGAATAAGCCATAATTTACTCCTGATGTCAGTATTTTTTCAATTAGAACTTTAGATCTGAAGTTCATGATAAAAGTAGTTATAGCTATATAACTCTGAGATTCAGATATCACCAAAAAAAAAGTGAACTGTAACTTCAAATTAGTTTAAAACAAAATCGTACCTAATGTAAATGATTGGTTATTATAAACATGTAAATTGTTCATTGATCGAGGTACATGGTTACAGTGTACTACTAAAATACCATTCCTTTCTAGGTTAATGGGAGTATGAATTGGCCAAATCTGGCAGTTAAAAACACAGGAACAGATACACGATGATAATAAATTAAAAGTTATAACTATTATGGAGCCAGCTATATATCTCAAGTTAAAAATGAATTACATTTATTATGTGCCTTGTTTTTTCTAAACCTAACCATTTACTCATACAAGAGCCAATACTTGTCCTTCCAAATCAAATAACTTGTTGCAAAGACCTGTGATAATGGACGTTCTTTAAACTAATTCTCATATGGATTATTGACAATGATGAATTATTCACAAAAGTTAACATTTTCCTAAACTGAAAATGTATTTCCAAGAGATACCTCCTCTCACAAAAGAGGAAGAGGGGGGGGGGGGATGTGAGAAGAGCTAAATATCTATTGGAAATACATTTTCAGTTTAGGAAACTGTTAACTTCTGATACAATATCTTATCTCCACTCTCAAAACAGCTAGAATCCCACACAGAACTGGTGGAGAGCCAATGAAAAATGGTCCCCCTTTAGGAAGTGCCAAAAAGAAAGACCATGAGGTGTGGAACCAAAAAAGAAAATATCACATCTCAGTGGGAGACTGCACCACATCTGATCTGCATACAATCTTCGCTCTTTTATAACTGTGTCACAAACATCAAAGTTGGAAAAACATGAAAAAAAATCCCAGACTATGTATTACCGATTATTGGTACCTGTGGGTGTCGAGTGGCTATGGCACAACAGACCATAGTGGTAGTTCAACCTCATCCAACACCTGGTGGAATCTGTAATAGTACATCAGTTCCACAGTAAGCAGAGGATCACCCACCTCAAAACAGAAATTTGTAGGAAAGACGAGCTTCCGTATCAAACTCCGTCCCCACTTGGCATTTCCAACCCAACCAACACCTGATCCACCACAAACCGACATCAAGTGGATGATAGTAAGGAGGAAAGCAACAGTGGGATGACATCTCTGGTCCAAAACCTGATGGTAGAGGGTATGGTTTTTCCAGACTGCGGTAGGAGGAGGATACCCAACCAAACACAAGTGGGAATACACGCTGCATCCAGCTACAATCAACAACAAGCAGATAGTAGGATGAGGGACTGCAAAACTGGAGTGCATCTCCAGTCCAAAACCTGGCAGCATTAGTCATTTTTCATCCAATCTACAGTAGAAGGAGGGATACCAGCCAAAACACAGGGGAGGACTTACTTAGTTGGACCATCTCCAGGCAACACCTCGACCCCCCCCCCCAAGAACCATATACAAAAAGGTTAGGAGGTGGGAGGTAGTGTCTCACGCCGTAGGAACGGG